TGATGGTGATGATGATGATGATGACGATGATGATGATGATGAATGATGAATGATGAATGATGAATGATGAATGATGAATGATGAATGATGAATGATGAATGATGATGATGATGATTGATGATGACGATGATGATGACAATGACGATGACGATGACGAGGACGATGACGAGGACGACGATGATGATGATGATGATGATGATGATGATGATGACGAGGATGATGATGATGATGATGATGATGACGATGATGATGACGATGACGATGACGAGGACGAGGACGACGACGACGACGACGACGACGACGACGACGAGGATGATGATGATGATGATGATGATGATGATGATGATGAGGACGAGGACGAGGACGAGGACGAGGACGAGGACGAGGACGAGGACGATGGAGAGGACGATGACGATGATGATGACGATGATGATGACGATTATGATGATGACGATTATGATGATGACGAGGACGAGGACGAGGACGATGGAGAGGACGATGACGATGACGATGATGATGACGATGATGATGACGATGATGATGATGATGGTGGTGATGGTGATGGTGGTGGTGGTGGGGGAGGGGAGGGGGGGGGCCCCCCTTTCGCGTGAAAAATCACGTGATGTCCTTGAGCAGCCCCCCCAATACTTGCTAAAGCAAGAAGACTCCAGCTAGCTGACGCTAGCTTTCGTGAAAAGGACAAAGCAGAGCGTCAAGTTTGAAGAAAATCTCGCCAGGTAGGGTTGACGCAGAACAAACACCGAGTTGCAGCCGAACTATGTGCGCAAGAGAGTGCCGCAAAACCACCGAAACCTCAGTTCCAATATGTTCCAAGCCTCAGCAAATCCGACCATGATCCGAGACCGTTTTGAAACTGTCACACGGCAGACCTTCCCCTTTCCTCTTTTGAGGCACGTATGAGGCACGTTTGCATTGCAAAAGACGGGTTGGTTATGGTTGGTTCATCTGCTATCTTTCGAAGACGCATTTCGTCCGAGACTTCCCCAAAAATGCATGAAGTTGTGAAGACAAAGCCTTTCGTGCGAGATGTCATCCAAAAATCAAGATATATCAAGATCTAAGAGCTGTGACTCTACACTCTCTGTTCCGTTTTAATGATATGATATCCGTAAAACAGAAGTTTCATAAACTTCCTTTGCCAATGAAATGAATCCACCAAAGAGAACATGAGCCAATTCACATGGGCCAGAAAACAAGGAATCTGGCGGATCTGGCGCAACAAAAAAGGAAAATAGTCAATCTAATCATCTAATCCAACTTCATCCAACTTCATCCAACTTCCTTTGAGCACTGGATCATTTTGGGCGGCAACACCTTAAAGGGATACCCTTTTAAAGGCGTCACGGCAGCACGGGGAAAAAGCTATGGTTAGAAGCTATCCAAAGCCCTCAGGGAGAAGTTGTGTGCCGGCATCGGTGGTGTTTAACAACCACTTGAAGGGAACCGACTGGGCCGACTGAGCACCTTAGAACAAAACAAAATCAGAGCTGGAGCCGGGAGGAGCCGGGAGGGAGGTAGCACAGGTAGCAGGATCTGCAAGGGAAAGCACGAATCTGTTGGTGCTCTCTATACTCTCTGCCGTCCTTCTTTTCTTCTTAAGTTCTTTTTTCTTCTTCAGATTCTCCTATATTTTCTGTTCTTGTTCTGAATCTGCTGCTGCTGTGGTTCTCCTGCTCTCTCTCTCTCTCTCTTTCTTGGAGCCTGGCTGTCCGTCCTGCCCCCTCTCTGTGAGGCACACTGCGACTAGTTGTCGTGACTTCTTTTTGTGATCACTTGCTGGATTGCTTGTTGTCATCGATGGATATTGATTATGAATCTTGTTTTACAATTTTCTTTGCTGCTATTGTTTTATAATCGACATCCCTTTCGGTCGCAGTGTTGGTCGTCATTGATTGTTGCTTCCCTGTTGATAGAACCATTGGTCCAAGGACTGGAGATGCATGGTCCGCAGCACTCCGCAGCACTCCGCTTGGAATCAAGCTCGTTTCCCTTGACCGACTCGAAAAATGATGTTTCATGATGTTTCATGAGAACATTTGAGCGGTGTTCAAATGTGTTCAAAACCCTCTGTCGTTGCTTTACACTGCTTGGTTAATAGGGATTTCTATGGATTGCGATCATCCCCAATATATTATATATGTGTGTGTGTGTATTGGGTAGTGTACCCTCCAAAATATATCAAAATATAATCATCAACCAACAGGGGTTTCGAACGCTGCTGATTTCTGCCTGCACCAATTCAGAAGAATCTGGCTTTGCATCATCCAGGACATCTTCAAATTTAAGACCATGCACCGCAAGCATCATGGCCATGGCAGAAACTTGTAGGTATATAACTCAAAATTTAAATAGTCGCTTTGGTTCATTACTCTATCGTTTTTCTGGTGCACTCTGAGTCGACAGTGATTTTTTATGTAGTGATTCCTACCATTGGCCTTGCTGACTGTTAACAAAGCGTTTGAGATTGTACCAGTCTTATCAAGCCGCTGAAACCCTCCTTTAAGATGGTTGCACACTATGGCCCTGGCAAATGGAGGCTGTTCTGTTCATTGGCCCAGTTGGCCCGGGCTGGGGCTGCCCCTGTGCAGCTTGGGACAAAGTCTCCCCTCTGATCCCTCCGGCTTTCTGAAATCACATTAAATCACATTAGCAGTTGTGACATGTCAATGATATGGCTATGGATCAATTCCTATACATACCATTTTTAGGGGGATGAACATCCATTTACCAGCTATTTTGATGTTCACCAGGGGTACAAGGTTTTGACCCATCCCCATATGTTGATGATATGTTAATACTATTAATACTGTTTTCATGATATCTTAACGATATGTTGCCCTCGTTGTGACCAGGCGCTTAGCCTCGTTTTGTCAAAAGCCAGGGCCTCATCGCTGTCGCTGTCGTCCAAGCCGGAGCTACTGCTTTCGCCGTCGCCTTGCGCCTGGTGTCCCAAGGCTTCAGGCGCTGAAAGAGACACTGGCGCCATATCCGGATCTGATTTTACCCTCTGGTTATGTCAAAATAGCTATTGAAAATGTTGATTTATAGTGAGTTTATCCATTGAACATGGTGATTTTCCATAGTTATGTAAACGTTTACCAGAGGGTATCTGATTTTTTTCTGTACATCCTTGACATTCTTGGACATCCTCGACTTGAATTCTTAGTATTTCTTCGTTCAATGTTCAACGTTCCAGACCTACTGCTCCCGGCGGGCCAGCTGCATGCGGTCCACAAGCTCCTGGGAGATATCCCAGCTCTAAGGTGGAAAAAATCTGTGGACACCTGCGACGGAAAACCTTTGGGTTTCGTAGCAACAGGATCAAAAGAAGTCACCTGGGGGCAATATGGGGCAATCCCCGCTCTATCTGCTCTTTGAGAGGCAGGAAGTGACGAATTCTTTGTTTGGCCTGGCGTATCTTGGCGTTTTGACATTTGTTTTCGGTGTTTTCCCTGCCTGCAATTGTGGAGGCAGCTTCCCAGGCCCGCCGCGACCACTGTTTTGACTAGCCTGAGGCTCATGCTGTCCAGCGAAAGGAAAATGAAAGGAAAATGAAAGAAAAATATAGAAAAAGAAGAAAAAGAGAGGAAGCCTTCGAAAAGATTGACAAAGGGAATTCATAGGAATTCCAGAGAAGCAAACATCAGTTTTAGCGCGACAATTGAAAGCTGCCCAGTGACATAGCTCACCACAGAGAAGCGATGTAGCATGCCGTTGCTCATGCGACGCAAGCCATTTAGAAACCTGCAGGCGTGGTCGGATCAGCAGAAGACTTGCGGTCTTGAATTTCGAGTTGCCGACATTCATAGTGGTTCAAGAATACAATATAAGTAATTCATAGTAATTACACAGCTCCCTGCCAAACCGCTAATAGTGCTCAAATACAAAAGTAACACAGCTTTGGGAGGTTTGTTAATATTTGTTAATATGAAGTTGACAGCCCCTACCCCAAAGTATGCCAAAGTTGTACACCTCAAATCACCTCAAGCTTCAAGTTAGCCCGAGCCCCCATGGTCCTGGTGAAGTTTGGGCTCAATGGCTCGGGTTGGATCACCGTCCTAAGAGCATCTGCTTCGTCGCCAGGCTCAAGGTCTGCTGGAATCAAGCCATGTACCGAAGCAAACTGTACAGATTGTACAGTACCTGCTGATCTCTCTCTCTCTCTCTCGTACTCTAATCGTAATCGATTTGACAGAGCAATTCACCGGCAAGCCAAGAGGCCCTAGGATTTCCTCCGCTTGGCTCATTGCACTTGCAGCCCATGTATAGACATGTTCCTCCTTAGATACCCAATCCAGTGGCATTTCTCTTTCTCAGGGTCAGACTTTACTGTGGCACTAAGGCCTTTACAGACGCCAACCGATTTGGAATCGCGTCGCCATGCTTTAGCATAAAGGATTTCTCTCGTACAATTTGAAAGCCTAATTTGAGCTAGTCAACTATTGGATTTGGAATAAGCTGCTTCAGGGATTTGGCTGGACAATACAAAAGATATCGTCGACACAAAGTGCACCAGGGCCAAATCCAAGTACGTAGGAATTGTCAACGCAATGCGTGAAAACACACGCAGAAAATTGAAAATGCGTTCTCTAGAAACAACATGAAACAACTATAGATATAGCAAGAAAAATAACACAGGGACTCGAGGAAATGTCCTGCAGTTATTGGATGAGAATCACTCGATTAAGAGAAGCGCGATAAATTTCCAAATGTTCGATGCAAACTCATATTGAATCACACAATTTGGTACATGCCGGCATAAGCTTCATTAGGTCAGGAGCCTGAAAGGGTGCATGCTGCATGGTAGAACCTTGCTAAGCTCAAACTCCGGCAGAAGGATCCGTTCAGGATATGGATCATCTAGAGTGCACTTTTTTGCTCACAAGGCCTTGCTAGGTGCCATTGGATCATTGCCCTCCATGTCACGAGTAATTACACCTACAGTACACCTGTCAGGATCTGTGCATATTCAAACTCTCTCAAACTTCCCCACAGCTCAGGACCATGGGCCAAGGCGCGTCAATCCAAATATCAGAAAGGCTCGTAGGCTCTTCTTGAAAATGGCGCCAGAATTTCTTGGCATATGTCCGAACCTCGGGTTTCGGCCACGTCATGCCACGGTGTCATATGGTGTCGTGGCTGATCATGTCACAGATCACAGCTTCCCAAGGCGCGTTTAACAGCGGGCTACGGTTCAAATTTGAAATGTGCCCGCTAAGCTGCCCATGCTCATCGTTCAGAGAGATGCTAAGATCTGCGAAGCCCGAAGCATTCTAGCTCCTTCTAGCTCCTTCTAGCTCCTTCTAGCTCCTTCTAGCTCCTTCTAGCTCCTTCTAGCTCCTTCTAGCTCCTTCTAGCTCCTTCTAGCTCCTTCTAGCTCCTTCTAGCTCCATATTATATGATGTCATATGATGTCGTATGAGTATGTCTCCGCGCCGGGTGCCAAATGTGCCAAATCAATCAAGGGCACTGTTGCTTCTTCTTTGAGGACGTCCTGACGAGATTTGACGAGATCCAGGACGGCAATTCGTCAGATCTTATCCTATGCATTTCCTATGCCAAGAAAAAGAATGAGTCAAAACATCTCAAACCTTCAAACACTTGCTCGCTATGTCATAGGTGCGAGAAGGAATGACAGCCACTAACTTCTTCTACCGTTCAGCATCGTTAAGCCGTATGTCACGTATATGTCCTGTACTTTCAGCGCGTCAAGGCTGACGAGCTCCTTGGAGCGTGGCTCAAGCATTCTGATTGAAGGGTTGTCAAAGTTGTCCAGCATGCTGTATCGAACAAAAGCAGGTTCAGCCAGGTTCAGCATTATCTTGCCTTTATTCTCGGCCAAAATGTGACCAAGCCTCTCAAAGCTCAAACCGAAGCCCCTAAAAGGCCCTGACAATCGAAACATCTCCAACTGAGGCTTACCTGCCATACTCATCTATCTATCTACATATCTATCTACTAACCTTATCTAATCTAATCGAATCAAAATTGAATCGAATCGAATCCAATCCGATCTAGTCTGTCTGTCTGCCTGCCTGCCTCTCTGTTGGTTATCTACTGTCCTCAGTTATATGTAGATTCAGATACATACCTGCATCTTTGGTCCCTAAGAATGTCTTCTTGTTAGTTCTAATTTGGCTATAAAACATGATAAAACATCTAACATGTTGACATATTTGACATATTTTGACATATTTTTGACATATTTTGACATGACTATGGAGCTGCCGGGGCCACAAGGTGCCATGGCTGCTATGGGGTGCCAAGCTGCACATTGCGAACTGCTACTCGCAGTCCCGAGATGCTGCCACTTTAGCCACAATGCTGCCTCCACCAGCCAAGGCTGTGAGGTTGTGACCGCAGACTGCCTAAGATGTTGGGCAGTCTGCATGGTTTCCATGCATTGACCATAAATCATTTTTTGTCCAATTCAGCAAGCCTCTACAAGAGTTGAATTGAATATCATCCTTTATATCCTTTCCAATTGAACTGATTGTCGTGTGTCTTGTCGGACTGGTTTGATCCCCCAGCGCACAGTGCCATCAGTACCAAGATGATCTAAGATGATCCATCGTACGATCCATACCAAGGAGCTCGTCGTCGTCACGGGAATACACCAGTGTACCAGACACCAGAAAGTACATATGTGTTCCAGCCTCTGCTGTTGTGATCAACTCCTGCAATGTGACCCATTGTGACCCATCGGATGAATTTGGGTTTAGCCAATGCAATTCACGCAGAAGAAGAGTCCTGCGAGATCACCAGGGACTTCTGCGCCACAGCATTGCCTCAAAAATGTGGAAACAAATATTAGGCAGTGTGTCAAAACCAATAGTACCCCTGGTGAACATCAAAATAGCTGGTAAATGGATGTTCATCCCACTAAAAATGGTATTAATAGGTATTGATCCATACCCATATGGAAAATGTTGCGATTTCATGCGATTTCGCAAGTTTTAAGATGTTTTAAGTATGGCAGGATGTGGCATGGCGACTCGTGCGAAACTCAGAGATGACATATGGAACATTTTGGAGCCCCCTCTCCGAGGGTAGGCAACGAGGCAACGAGTCAACAAGGTAGAGCTCTAGACACTTTGCATCACTTTGCTGTACTTGGCTTGAATTGCAATGATAAAGATGAAAAAGTGCAGAATGAGGTGCTATAAATCTTTCGGCTCTCCGATGGCAAACAACTGTGACAAAAGGTGAAAAAAGGATGTTTTCCCAGCGCTGGCGCATAGATCTCGTTCGAGAGTTCAAACCTCAGCTGAGGCACTAGGTGAAACTGATCCATTCATGAGATCATATGAGATCTACCCACGTTGCTTTGTGGCTGGCGTGGTGGCTGGCGTGGTGCCAGAAGCACTTAGCATACTTAGTTCCAGAAACGTTACAAATCGGCAACAAGTCTCTCGGTCCAGAAAGGTGCAAATCAGCAAGAAGCCATAATAAGCCATAATAAGCCATAATAAGCCATAATAAGCCATAATAAGCCATAATAAGCCATAATAAGCCATAATAAGCCATAATAAGCCATAATACGCCTCTCAACAATGTGGAGGTTTAATGTGGAGCTTTATCCATTTTTGGACAGGATGCTTCAAACTCAAAGGCAGGAGCTGCAGGATGTTAATTTCATCTTCGTGAACGCGTCTGCGCGACTGCTGCCTCATCGCCAGGCCCATGGGGCCCATGGGACCCATCTCCATGCTAAAACAAGCCAGAGAACTGCCCACTTAAAAAATATAACACAGAGATCATCTCCAGAAGAAACGATATGATCATCTTTTGTCCAGTCCCTCGGAATTCCGGAAAAACTTGAGGACGAAAGCTGGGAAGGTAAAGGGAGGAGGAAGGTGTGGTGAAAGAGCGGTGTGTGAGGAATTGGGAGATACCAATGATGCTGATGCTGACGGCCACGATATGGCGGCGATGTTCCGAGGATTGGGCCCTGGCAAAAGTCCTTGTGACCGGGGAGAGGGAGAGCTATAGAATTCCTTATCTTATTTCTTTAGCACCCTTTCCGGATAGTCCTTAACTGCACAGCTCACGGGTGGGTAGTTAACTATGAAGTTTCATGCGACTGGCGATTCTGCTAGTGGGTGATCGATTCCGTCTGCTCTCCCTGCCAATGCCTTGCCAAAGCAAGAGGGATTTCAGCTATCAGAAGCTAGCTTTCGAGACGTGTTGTGTTGAACCTCAAGACCAACAGGACCCGCACAAATCTGAAATAGTAAAGGCCGATGGTTGAGTGAAAGTGCAGTCATCTTGACTTTGTGTCTGTCTGAATTCTGCAAGGTTCTTTCCGGCTCTTTCCGGCATGGGTCACGCATGGGTCTTTTGCCCAGCTGCTTTCGATGGTAGAAAACCAGATTGGATGAGGGGAGGCAAGTTTTGATCAACCTTGCAGCACACACCCTCTGGTAAACTTACAAAAAACTATAGAAAATCACCATTTTGAATGGGAAAATCCACTATACATGGGGTATTTTCTACAGCTATGTTAGTTTACCAGAAGGTAGGTTTCACAGGTGGGCTGCAAGGCCATGGGCTTGGTTTCTTGTGACGCTGACATCTCCGGCCTGGCCCTGCTGGAAGACCCAGTCCAAAGATGTCCAAAGATGTCCAAAGAATCCTAAAAGACACTTCTCCAAGCAGTCTCCCGCCTGTTTTTGCCTTTGGTTGCCTTTTTGTTGGTGTGGGCATGTGACATGTGTGTGGGTGTGCTCGTTTTTTGGCTGTGTCTATATCTCTTTGGGTGTGCTCGGGGAGATGCGTTTGTTGAGAGAAACTAAGAAAGCCCTTGGAGTCTCTGTCTGATTTCTCCTGGAGGCGCACAGACACGCAGACACACGCACCAGACAACATGCGATGGGAATGGAACCCAAAAAACCAGACAACCTCCACAGAAAACATATGAAAACATCACAAGACCAAGACAGACCAAGCAAAACATCAGCAAATGCATCTCCACTTTAAGCAGGTCCTATCAGGGCCACTTTACACAGTACGATGCAACAGCAACGATGGGACGGGAGAGCCTAGAACCTCGATCAAACTCATGTGTGCGCATGCTTCCACATGCTGCCGCATGCTGATTCACATATGTAAAGAACGAATGCATGCGTTTGTATGTGTGTCTGCGCGTAATCCTGTACTTACAACATGATCGTATATTAGATATTGTTTTACATACATACATATGTATACATATGCATGTGTCTGCGTGTGTGTGTGTTATATATATATGTCGTATGCCGTATGTGTGTATATATATGTGTGTGTTTATTTATTTATGTATGTATGTATGTATGTATTTATTTATTTATTTATTAATTTATGTGTGTGCGTGTGGGAAAGAATCTATGCATTCAAGATCATACAATATCATACAAGTATCTCTCTCCCGTTCAATGCATGGAAGAAACATATCCATGTAATTCCAGGTATACACCTATATTTCGCACGATTCAAATCCCATATTTTGATTATTTTGCATATGTATTGAATGTTGTCAAGAAAAAGCGTGTGGTCTCCAAGGCTAATCAGTTGGGAATTGGAAACTATTCAACAAGACCATATTGAACCATATTGAACCATGTTAAACCAAGGTTCATGGCTTTGTTCAAGCAGTTGTGAATCCTTGCAGTCAAGGAAGGCGTCACCACATTTTCTCTCAGATATCGCCGCAGCAGAGACTCTTGCTCGTTTCGCCAACCTCAAGGCGAAAAAAAACATGCTGCGGTGCATCCCCCAGGGGAAAAAAACATGCAACGGCTTCTCGTGCTGCTATGTGAAACATGTGAAACCACGTCACCAGCAACGGCTACGCACAAATGGCAGCGGGAAATGAGAGATGATCTCGATTCTGGGTCGCATCCAAAGCTTCCACAAACCTATTGAAATATATTGAAATCTATTGAAATCTATTGAAATCTATTGAAATATATTGAAATCTATTTTGACCTATTATGACCTATTATGACCTATTATGACCTATTATAACCTATTATGACCTATTATGACCTAGTGAAATCATGTGAAATCATGTGAAATCTATTTCCTCCATTGAATTCCCTTTGGACCTTTGGACTTACCCCTGTGCCAGGCAGCTGTTGAGATTTCGCAGTTGGTTCATCGCGTTCGTGATCGCTGACACGAAAGATGAAAAGATCAACATTCCAGAGAGGATGATACCTGGCAAAACGCTGAGGTTTGGAGGCAGTTTCACATCGATCGTCGACCACTGTGTTTTTGTTGGGTTTAATTGGGCCCAAAAAACATATAGTATGACAAAAGAAGTATGCTTTGACAAAGTCTACCGGTCTACCGGAAGCCAAGACGACCACTGGAGCAAGCCTGATCTATACACTATACAGACTATCCACTTTGTCTGGAGAAAGGTTCATCGTCCAACCAGACTTGGAGGAGAGTCAAACCTGTAGACTCTAGGCCTGCCCGATCCAAGATGCCAAGATACAAACTGTGAACAGGCGTTCGTACTCATTCTGTGGGAATACTTCCATTGATGCTGGAGTGAATTGAGTGATTGACCAGTGAAGTGCTGTGGAGTATCTGTACAACAAGTTCTTCACGTCCTTGATTCGCGAACATGGTGAATTGGTGTGCGACAGAGAAAACAAAGAGACAAAAAACGTGCGTAGCCAAACTTAAGAACATCAAGAACTCAGTTTGTTTGTTTGTCTGGTCTGGCAGCCTGGCACCCAGGATGTTGAAACCATTTCAGCTTCATTGCCACTTGCAGCTCAAGCGGCAACCTTAAATTCCACAATCCATCTATCTTGCCTGTTCTGGTCCTCAGCTGACTCATGCTGACTCTATCTCTGCCCCCGGGGCCCCTGCCCTCAAACGTCGAAGTATGTCGAAGTTTACAAGACTGCTTCAAACAGTTCAATCCAATTTTTAAAACTTTACTCATACATCCGACGAAGCCAAGAAATTTTGAACCAGAATTAACCAGTAGACTCAGTGGACCATAGTAGACCTGTAGGGAGAGGGTCACAGAGGGCACGAAATCACGCAGACATCGTAGAGAAATTAGAGAATCTCGAATCGAAATTCCCATTGACAAAAGCCTTCTCTCACAGTGTGCGAACTCTCAACATCTTCAACATCTCTCAACACTTCTATGGCGATGGTCGTGAAAACAAGCGTCTATCCTATCGTCCGCAGAGTTCACCAGAAAGCTGGGTGGAAACCATGGATTTCCATGCGCCATTTTTTGTGGCTACTGCAGATGGTAAAAGATGGTAAAAACACAGAAATGCACTGGATCATTGTCTTCCCACAGCCAGACAACTGATGATCTTGGTGGTTTTTTTTTAATGCCCACATGAACAGCGTGACAAGTAGCAAGATGTAGCAAGTAGTCCATGGGTCCATGTGCTTCAACATGATCCAATGAGGTTCATCATGATGAAATTCATGATCTTCAATTGTTATCATTCCCCAATCCATTGGTATCCAATTGTTATCTGATTTTATCATGGAAAGGATTGTTTTTTATGTTTTTTTTCCTCCGGACCCCCAGACTGACATCCAGCTTTTGGAAGTCTCCTGACTCAAAATTGGACACTGCAGCCATGGTGCAAAGTTGCCAATCGCATACCAAACACACGCAACCAAATGGTTGACCAGAACCTCAGAAGAATGATGAACATGATGAAATTCAGCTCGAGGCTTGGTATATTCTTGGTACGCAATATCAAGACCAAGGCCAGGGAGGAAAAAGAAATGCAGGAAAGAAAAGACGCTGCTGTGGTTTCAATCTGTCAACTGAGTCAACTGGCCGAGCTGCCAGCTGCCAGCATCTACAGTATCCTCTTGGAAAATGTTGGAACAACATGGAACAAGGTGTTGCAACAAGCCTCAGCGGAGCTTCATCATCTTCTCTGACGGGTCACAATGAATATCAGCATCTTGAGGATTCCAATCAGAATGAGAGATGCTTCTGACCTTGGATGCCGGGTGCATCAGAGCCAAAGCCAAGGCACACAGGGCCAAAGCCATTCACAAAAATCACATCATTTTTACACCACATTCACACCACATGGTCATTTCATGGTCATTTCATTCGCAACTTCTGCCAAAGCACTGAATTTGCTCCACCAAATCGTTTATGCGCCCACGTGCCTGGCCAAGCGACTAAGAGGGGACTAAGCCGGACTCACTTCTCAGCCTTGATTTAGAATCTAGAACATCTATGTAAACGTTTTAGAATTGGTGCGCGTTGTTTCCTTGCGCTGAAGTTTCCTCCTTTTGCTCCGAAGCTGACTACGACTGCCGACAGAACACGAACAAGAGACAAAAGGGTTTGGAAGTTTGGACTGCGCAGAACACCAGAGCCATACGCCGAGCCATGCCTTGAGGAGCCGGAGCAAGCGCAAAAAGCGCAGGAGCCGAATGGTCTTAGCCATTCTGAAGAATGCCACCCCAGCGTCAGCACCTTCAGCAACGCTCGCGACAACAGCCAAGTGCTTGGTGGCAGGCGATACGACAGATACGACAGGTGCTCATAAATTTCAGATCATCCAAAGGCACCAGTGTCCTGCTGGTACAGCAGAAGTGTCCATATTTGCAGACCCCAGTCCAATCCTGAGCACACAGCGTAGTAGCTCGCAATAGGTAGCAGTGTGCTGTACGGTAGGTGAAAGCTTAAGTGTGGTTGTACTTTGGTTTTAGTGCCCTGTCAACTATAATTAAAGTCAACCCATGGAGACAGATGATGAGCTAAAAATAGGAACGCTATAATTTATGACAAGCATGACAAATCACTGAAAGTGTTCGCACTTCTGATTTTGGCGAGCTCTCCTGTGGAAGTGAGGTTTTTGCACGGAAGTCACTTGGGGCACTTAGTAGTAAAATTGATAAAATGGGTATGTTTATGTTGCGTTTCTGTGCTCCTCATGAATCGCGGTTTTGCTCATGGATCCCGATCCGACACTGTCATGGTCCATGGTCAGATCATACTGGTGCCATCACCAGTCACTACACAGACCCCGACAAGGCAAATGCCATGAAATACCCTCTGGTTATGTCAACATAGCTATTGAAAATGGCCATAGAAATAGTGGATTTTCCATTAAGAATTGTGATTTTCCATAGTTATGTAAACGTTTACCAGAGGGTTTTTTTGCCTACAGTCCCACTAAAATTAACGTAAAATGTGTCTGTCGTGAATTCGACACAGGCCATTCTGAGCCATTCTCGCCCAGCAGCCGACGATAATGAGGTCAAATATAAACCAGGTCCTCAAGTATCTCCTTGCGATCTTTGTTAGTCGCATTTCAACGGTCCCTTCCTGACGGCCACAAGACAAAAAAGACCGAGACGTTTCGGCGAAAATGGGAAAAATTGTAAAATACCCTCTGGTAATTTGTTACATAGCTATTAAAAATTGCCATGTATAATCATGTATAGTGAGTTGTCCCATGAATAGCATGGTGGATCTTTCCATAGTTTTTTGTAAAGGTTTACCAGAGGGTAACACATGTCTTTAAGACATACGAGACGACAACACATCAATTGCCCTTTTGAGCGCCAGTGATGGCCTGGACGTGCTGTCTGTTTTTGTTTTGTTGCGTATCCTCAAGGATTCGGAAGTCATGCCATGTGATGTGGAGTAGTGAGATTAGATCGATTTAGTGCAAGCTGGTGCCTCACAAGAAGCAAAAGATCTTTTTTTTGCGCACATAGCTGTGCATGTTTTCTGCTTGGATATAGGCTGGTGTTATGTTAGTTTTATGTGATGCAATCTGATGTACCCTCTGGTTATGTCAAAATAGCTATGGAAAATCACCATTTATAGTGGATTTTCCCATTGAAAATGGTGGATCTTTCCATAGTTTTTTGTAAACGTTTACCAGGCCGGGTAACACAATATGCTAACCGTTAGATCTACCAAGTCTGTGCAACCTCATGTCTTTCTGAAAAGCGCCTCGAGAACAGCATAGCCTACCAGGAACGAGGCAGGTATATCCAGCAACCAATAAATACTGGTGATCCAGGACATAGTGTCCACCTTGGTGATGGAATGGTGGATGGTTGTGGATGGGACCGTGGTAGATTGAGAAATTGTGAGCAAATGTCAAAAAAAATGCAAGAAGCGTGGTGTTGGAGTGTTCCCCATAAATCCGGGCAGTCAATAGATCTAAATGCATTGCGTGTACGTATACATAAGATACATAAGACATAATTCATCATAATTCGTTGATATGTGTTGTATGATACTATATGATATTGCAGTAATTTTTGGAGTAACATGAGATAACATGAGTAACATGATATAAGATCAACGGACACATATTTGTTGTCTCTTTGTCGTCAAGTGCTAAGCCAATCCTCAACATCCGGAATTTATTCCTGCCACGTGACGAAAGCACTGCTCTCTGGATCAAAGGCCTCAACAGGAAGCCAAACGAGGTCATAGCAAATCAGGAGCAGACCTCGACAGGAGATACAAGATGATACAAGATGATACAAGCACTTCGAACATGCTTGAGTGTATGTTGTTTATTTCGTCGAATTAATTATACAAATCTTAATGATGTTGTGAGTGTCTGTGTGCAATATCTAGTTTTTTTTTTTTGTATAACAACTCTTGAAATGTCCCAACTGTCTGGGTAACGTTCTACATGTCTCACGTGTCTCCGACAAGACTCTTGATTTCATGATATTTCATGGAGATGGGGATGAACGGGTTACCCCCACTCAAACATGCTCACACTGCAGTTCAAAATCAGGGCACCCAAAAACTCGTAGACCAGGCGTCGCCCACAATGCGGCGGCAACACAAGGTAAGAAATGCATCGACCAGAACCTTCTTGAAAGAATCGCCTTGGATTCGAATTGTGTCATGATTTGTGTCCAAGCGCAGTTCCGAAGCCGATGAAACTTGGACGATGACTGCAGATCACACAGGAACTCAGTAGATCTCACAATTGCGGAACTTGTTCTGGCACCTTTCTGCCAAAAGTGTGTGCAGCCCCTTTGGAATTCACAATGGCTACTGCCCTGCTTGAGTTTCTGTGGGGAATCAGTGCCAAGCAACTCTAGGGGTGACGCGGTCTGGAGCATTCCAGACCTTCAGACAAACCACAAGCAGAATTACAAGCAGTCTGGTAATAATAATTTTAGTAATAATAATTATATAGTAATATTTAGTAATGACAATCTTGCTAATAATTATTACATACCGGGCTTATTATTATTACAAGATCAAGCAAGCCTTTTAATATTTAGTAATAATAATTTTCAACTAGCTTACGCAGCTGGATTTCTTATGATTTCTTTGCCGTTAATGAATGTTAATGAGACCAGGAGAAGAAAAAACCATGAAAAAAACAGTAAAAAAGACACCGAAACATGGGGAGAGTTCATGAGCCACTACTGGGATGGATAGCAGGATGGGATCCAACTCCCAAGCTGACCTTTGGTCACCATAAATGATCCGCTATCCAGCCATGTTGTCGAAAATTAGTTGGTTGCGTTCGGTCCTCTTGCCGCAAATTGCATTTCTTTGCCACTGCTGGAGGATACTGAGCAAGGTTTGCATTTTATCAATAGTTCACCAAAGCCAAACAATGAGTGCAGAAAAAAATGCAGTCAAATTCCTCGTTTCTATATGTTTCCAAATGCGGTAGAAACAAATCCTGTATACCAACAAATACTACACTTACATACACTTACTACAGATGGAGGTGCATTATGAATGTTTAGCAAAACGACACCTCCAAACCTGGAGGACAGGGCTCGGGTTCTGGGAGGTTCTGGGAGGTTCTGGGAGGTTCTGGGAGGTTCTGGGAGGTTCTGGTTCGGAGTTGTAAGGACGAAACAAAGCTGCCAGAGCCGCCAGGATGCCTTGAGCATTCATCTGTCGGACACTGGCATGTTTTTGGAACGCACTTTTTGACCAAAGTCACCGTAAACTCCGCAACCTCCGTAAACTCTGACATGCTGCAGTTGACGTACCCTCTGGTTATGTCAAAATAGCTATTGAAAATGACCATAGAAATAGTGGATTTTCCCATTAAAAATGGTGATTTTCCATAGTTTTTTGTAGGTTTACCAGAGGGTAAAAGTTTCACCATGCACCACGTGCGCCGCTGTGCACCTTAAAGGGGCTCTCTTCCTGGAGGCGAAGTTGACGCGTGCTTTGCTCGTGGTCCGACCTCAGGCCATCGTAAAGATCATCGTTTTTTTTTGGTGTCGGGAATCCTCTCTTGGCCCCATTTTACCCTCTGGTAAATAAACATAGACCCTGAAAATCACCAATTTTTAATGGAAACTAGTCTTCCAACCCCCATCTGGCAGGGTCTATGTTAATTTACCAGAGGGTAAATGTGAAAAAAATGTGACTTAAACGCACTTTATGGCATCTTTATGGCCAAGAAACCTGCTTCCCAAACATCACACATATCAGGAATCTTCGGCCTCGGAAATCGAGGGCCAGCGCGCCAGGTGCGCTCCAAAACATCCAACATCCAGCCGAGATGATGGCGGCCGAATCTATGTGGGTGACCAAAGTTTCCGGAAACCCAGAGCACAACGTTTTCTACACGAGCACCAAAACAGAATCTATATATACCTGGAAAACCATGACAACATTTTCTGTCACGGGTTTGGACATGTTTTTTTGTCCGTTACGTTTTTTCCCAAATACGGCCATGTCCGACTGCAAACCCTCTACTTACAGGACAATAGGTTTCCTGAACTCTTGGATTTGTCGGAGTGGTTCCGACAGTATGAGTGTCTCGTCTAGAGACAGTATTTGGGGCAGTATGTTGACATTTGATTACTGTTTTTTTTTTTCAACATGATGTTGAAAAAATACTGGTATTTTATGGGTACATCCAAATTTGGTGGGAAATATGGCAGTATGTGTGGCCAGATTTGGGTGCCCGATCACGATTCCCAATTTGCTCCACTTCGGACTGAAATTCCTCTTTTGGAAACTGTCGGAGGATGTCCGAACCCGGTATTGTCGAAGGATTTGAACAACCCTTCACAATCAAAAACCAAAATACGCAATTGAACAAAAAAAAATGTCCGTTGCTGGTAAAACCCATAATGGACAAAAAAAATGTCCATACGGTTTTCCAGGTATATATATATATATATCTATATATCTGTGTGTGTGTCACTCCGCTCAATACAAGTTCTCCATGGTAACCCGAACACCTCAGTGCCTCGGCCCCGATCTGAGGACAGCCATATCTCCCATGTCTCCATGTCAAAATAGCTATTGAAAATGGCCATAGAAATAGTGAGTTTTCCCATCAAAAAAATGGTGGATCTTTCCATAGTTATGGGACAGTTTACCAGAGGATAAATCATGTGAAATCATGTTAAATCATGTTTTTTATCCACATCCCCTATCCCACAACGATCTTCAGCAAAACTCACAGCATTGTAAAACCCCAACCCCACAATGCGAGGCCCCCCCGCATCGAGTGAAAGATGATATCAACTGCAGAGCTATGGCAGCTATGGCACTTGCGAATGCCCCACTTGTTGGGCGGTTGGAACAGATATGTACCCTCTGGTTATGTCAAAATAGCTATTGAAAATGGTGATTTATAGTGGATTTTCCCATTAAAAATTGTGATTTTCCATAGCTATGTTAGTTTACCAGAGGGTATGCTGCACGCATTTCTAAGTCGTATGAATCGTGAAAAACATTGAAAAACCCATCCCAGTTCCCCGAGCTCTCTAAGCCTCAAACTCTCAATGCCCTGTCCAAGCGGCGCTCGTATACCAGTATTGACACTGTCCCGCACGCTCTCTGGCACACTGCTCCGACATTTGATGTCCTGCTGGGTTTCTGTCAAAGCTTTTTCCTCATGGGACTTCTTGCCTGGGCTGCTCAACCGGCGACACGCCGGGACAGTTGCAAGGCCACTAAATGCAACTTGAGCTTGCTGAAGCATATGAATATGTATATACATACGTATGTGTATATATATATACATAATTAGATATATGAGAATATACAACCATGTCTCTTTTTCTCTCTCTCTCTCTCTTCCAATCATTTAATTTTTCTTCAACATGTTTTTTTTAACCGGCAAAGCTGCAAACCGCAGCTTGTCTCATATGAATTTTTCGGCCAAGCAGTTCCAGTTCATTGCACTCTGGAGCCAAGGCACCCGTTCTGGAAAGGTGCGAGGAATTGTCGAGCTCTTCTAAACCAGGAGCTTTCATGCTTTGAACATTTTGAACCTGCTGCAAGTTGCATATGATGTCTTGGGTTTGCGATTGGTGGGGTCGTAGCGACGTAGCTTCTTGCAGATTCGCGGATATTCTATGTCTGTGTGTGGCCATGGGGGGGCCTAATATGGGGTGTAAATCTACCTCGTGAGCTTGTGAGCTGTATGAAGTCTTGAAAAACTGGGAATACGTGAGCTGCGCAGCACTTTTTTCCCAAAAAAACATGACGCAACGCAATGACCTCCAGAAAGTTGTCCCTCGATGAAGCCTTGGCAATCGCAAGCGAAGCTAGCGGGCAGAAGCTTTGGAGGAAGAAAATCCTAACTATTGGGTATGAGTCAAAATTGGGTACCCCAATAGTTAGATGGTTAATACATGTTAATACTAAGAATAGACTAAAATCTGTGGTCCCATTAATGGTCTTCAATTTTGACCCATTCCCAAATCCAATTGCAAATCCACGCGCTGTTTGCTGCGCATCTGAAATCACTGTGCTGTCCCGAGGAACCAATGCCTCTGGATCTACGTCCCGGCCTTTCAGGGCCATGGCCGCGCCCAAGTCCACATCCCCCAATCCCAAGTCGTAAAGAAAATGCAGCCATTGCCACAATGGAAAAATGCCTACCCCAGGTTAGTAATAGGAAGTTCATGGAAGTTCTGATGGTTCCAAGGTTAGTTTCTGCCATTTTCTGAGTCTTGTCTCTCTCACTCTCTCGTCTCTTGATATTTGGCCTGGCGCCAAATGGTGAGAGCTGCGATTTGACTTCATTTTTGAGTCAGAGCTCTCCGCCTGGAAGATTCAGCCACTTGTGATGACATCACTTGCCAACGACAAAAAAGCACCTGCCCTGGAGAACATGTCCAGAAATATCGCATGACCTTGAAAAATTAGATGATATGATGTGGGGTTTTTGGCGCCATTTTATTATCTAGACAACAGTCTTCGTGTGTCTTCTGGTGACCATATCATTGACATGTTTGAACATCCCCGGAGATAATAAGATGAGATAGGTAGGTCGTTAGAACTTGCATGGTGGAAAGCGAAAATCTCCGCACAAACCTCCGCACAAACCTTCCATGCATCTCCACAGTGTGGTTGGTGCATAAATCTGCGTGACGCAGATTTGTGCCAAATCTGCGTCATGTGTGTTACATGTGTGTTACATGCCACATTATGCCATCTGTTGGACATGTAGAATCTCTAGAATCTGTAGAATCTTTACAGAACAGCCACAACTGTACCATGCCTTACAGAACAGCCCTAGCATTTCCTCACCGGCGCGCCTCTGGCAGCTCCAGAGTTTCCACATGACCTGGTGGAAGTCCTGGCGCTTGTCCTTGTCCTTGCCTGATATCCTCCAAAGTACTTGTCTGACCTCCGAGGCAAACCAAACGGCCAAGTCCCGGCCAAGTCGGGACATGTCCAATGTCCAAAATGCTCGAATCCTCACGTGTAATGTGTGCTGAAAAAAATCTGATCAAGATTGGTGCTGCATTCTGACGGTGACCGAAACAGAGCAGGCAGTGCCTAGATCTTTGTTGCTGTTTGGTGGGCTTGCAGTTAGGGTCATGCTGCCATGCTCGTGTTGCACATACACAAAGGCGCATCTTTGTGCAACTTGCACAGAAATTTGCTGTAACATGGCATGGGGCATCTTTGGGATTGTTGTCAGTGTGACATTGTTTGGGTTTGGACAGTGCAAGCGAAATCGCGCTAGATCGTTTCCAAGGACATGAAGTGCTTTCCATCCGCCATGCACTGCACGAGACACAAGAGACACAAGAGACACAAGAATGCTGAGTTTGCTGCCCATCTTGCTTATTTTCTTCATCTTTGGAGGACTGGGTGGCCTGTACACATGCCCAGTCCATCAGGTGACATCTGGTGAATCTCTGATTTTGATCCCCAAGGGCTCAACTTCACACCTCGCAGCGCTGCCTTTTCGCAATTCTTCGAGTTCTGCCTAAGTCATCGACTATGCTTTTAGAGGCCCCTGATCCAAATATCTGAGTCAATCTCACCCTTTTTATCCGCAAAAATCCGGTCAAACCTCGTTTCAAGGTCCATCAATTTCACAAAAAACTGGTGGAGAATCACCATAGACAAAAACAGGACCCCCGGAAGCAAAACACCGATGTGAATCTACTGTTACTAATGGCAGAAACATCGGTGTTTTCAAGAGACGGCAAGATGTCAAACACCAAATCAAAAACATGCAATAAAAATCATCATTAATGTCACCATTTTAGGGAAACGGTTCCATGCTCTTCACCTCTCTGCCATATTTGTCCACAACAGATGCCCGAAGCCGACTTTGTTGGAACATGTTGGAACATCATCTGCCATCCGGTGGTGAAAACAGCCGATGAGTTGCCGATTCCGTGATTCTCCAATCCGTTACTCCGAGTTGCCAAAAGGAATGCCTTCTCTGCCAAGGTCTCATCTTTTAAAGCCTGCAACTGCTGTTGATGCGCAAGGCCAGCCTGAAGAAAGGCAAGGCGGCAAGAAAAAACGCCTTTGAATGGGCCAGATATGTCGGGATGTGATTTAAATATATTTAAATGATGATTCCAAATAATTGTCCAGGGACAAGACCTGCATACGCTTCGGACCAAATAACATGACATTTCCGACTGTTAGTAATGAATTTTGCATTGTGCCAATATGTGAAGGCAATTGTCCTTGGGGCCTGGATGGGTGACCATGCGACTGTTTCGGGTGCGCACAAAGTTGGTTGCAAAGTTTCCACAGGAACATGTTTCGAAGACGACACTTTGCGCAGAACAAATCTCTTCAAATCGGATTGGTATGGATTGGTCAAACTACAAGCCTCATCAAACCTCCTTTTCTGCATTCGCATGCGTCTGTCTGCGTTTGTCCGGGAGTTTCTCCGTGATGCGCACATTTCGCAGGACAAAACTCTGGCCACCGCTTCAAAAAGCTTTCGTGAATGCAGCATGTTATCTCATCATATCTTATCATATCTTATCATATCTTATCATATCTTATCATATCTTATCATATCTTATCTTATCCTATATCATTATTATATCTTATCATATATCAGCAACATAGTAGAGATATCTTATCATATCATATCTCGTACTGCCCATCCCCCAGCAGTGCCGTGCCATGCCGTGCCTGCGCCAACAGCTGCATCACCTTGTCTTCACTCAGGTCCATCGCTGACATGTCCCCTCTTGAGCCCAGCCCCGTTCGGGGAGGCCCCTTGATCCAGAAGCGAATGCAGCATTGGAATTACTGCCAAAGAGATATCTCTCCAACCGCAATTTCGCACAAATAACAAATAGAAAACCCAATAGAATCAAATAGAATCAAATAGATCTATGATCAAACAATAATTATGTTTGGGCAGGCTGACGTTGCGCAAGAGTTGGCGGCCACATCCATCGAAATGGATTGAAAGTTAGGCAGAACAGCGGCAAGTTTTTGTCTCACTGACAGGCACCGAAGACTGCACGACGCTCAGCGCAGAACGGCACCCAACACTTGCTGAAGTGAAACAGCGGCGTATTTTTGAAGACTAAGATCCAATAGGAGAGGAAGAGAGAGATTGAGATGATTGATAGAGACAGAGAAATAGGGAGAGAAAGAGGGCTCGTTGCAGCCAATTTGCTACCCTGAGTTTTGTGAGAAAGGACATGCTCAAGCAGCTGTCTCGGACCCCACCGGAGTCGCAATGCAAGAACACTCAAGTTGGCAACAGCTACAGTAGAAGTAAATGGGGATCTGTACGGCTGTGATAGGTTGATTTTGTTCAGTGAGGGGCCAAAGCAAGACAACAGTGAAAGCAAATAAGTCAAGAAATCAAAAAGAGTACAATTGAAACACCCTGGTTCCAGAACTTTCAAGTATATACGACGTATGAATATATATATATAAATAAATAAATGAATAGATTTAGTGACCAAAAAAATGTTTAAAAATGTTGGAAGATGTTTGAAGCATCTTGAAGCCCACTGGCTAGATGCATGTTTTTTTTGAGGAAAATTTACTCCATAAAATCCTAATTTCATTGTCTACGATTATATTTTGCCATGTTGGTTTCCGCTTTCCCACGTTCGTTTCTGAGGGCTCTTTGTCCAACTTTCAGGTGCATCCGCTCCACTTGTTTCACTTGTCCTGCTTGCGGACCTCCTCGAAAAAGGCATGTGCCATGGCCTCAAAGGGCAGGAAATCCCGAAAAAGGCCGATGTGTGCACGGCGTATTCTGAATATTCGCTGAATATTTATGAGCAAATCTTTTTACAAATATATACATAGTGTAAAAAATGTCTATTAAAAATAATGCCACTATAGAAAATCGAACAATACATAAAACATAATAGATCATCTACAACATGTAACATATGATATACAAAACACAATAAGCAATACATTTAACATAAAATTTAAAGCATATAGCATATAACATCTAACATATAAGATATACCGCAAAACATATAATATGTATAAATAAAGAACATAGCACATGATATGTAACACATAACAGAACACACATATATATATAATAACATCTAGTAGTTAAAAAAGAAGTTAAAGAAAATTATATATGGTACAGTGTGTAGCACATAACATATACAAGTAGTTCCCGGGCAAGCCGGGGGCAGAAGTTTCAAATTTGAAACGCTTATAGCCTATGGAGCGGAGCAAAGGCTGTGCCTATAGGTGACAGGCAAGCCTCCTGCGCTTCGTGGCTACAGGCTCTTGACTTGTCAATCTGATGGCATGCCTTTCGAATGTTGGATCTTTTCTCATGCGTCTGATCTCATCGCATCGCAGCTTCTCTTGGAAATTGCTCACTGGATCCCATTGTCATCGCAGTCTGTGTCATCCCATCTCATCTCAACTCATCTCATCTCACGTCTTGTCAGCTGGTCACAGCTGTTCTCTTCTCTTCTCAGTCACCTGAACTTTTCTCATCTCTTCTCATCTCATCTCGGCTTTTCTCAAATTTCACAGCTCTTCTCAACTCTTCTCAACTCTCCGCAGCTCATGTCAGCTCATCTTATGTCTTCTCGTCTCTTCTCTCCTCTTCTCACATCTTCTAAGCTCTTCTCACATCTCCTCAGCTGATCTCAGCTCTTGTCAGCTCGTCTCACACATCTCAGCTCTGCTCAGCACACTCTCAAATCACCTCAGCTCTTCTCTGGCCCAAAACCTGCTCCAAACAAGGATCTCGGTGCCAAAGCAAGCGACCCCCACGCTTTCCACAGAGAAGATTTGACACAGAGAACCTTTACACACAGCAAGCTTTTGCACAGAGAAGCTTGTACACACAGAAGCCTTTACACAGAGACAGGGAAGCTTTTACTCACAACAAACTTTTACACAGAGCGAGCTTTTGCACACAGCAAACTTTTACACAGAGAAGCTTTTGCACACAGAAGCTTTTGCACAGAGAAGCTTTTACACGCAGACACTTTTGCACACAGAAGCTTGTACACACAGAAGCTTTTACACACAGAAGCTTTTACATAAAGAAGCCTGTACACAGAGAAGCCTTTACGCACAGCAAGCTTTCACACAAAGAAGCCCCTACACAGAAAGTTTGTACACAGAGAAGCTTGTACTACATGGACTTCATCAATAGACCACACTCCTTCTCACCAGATTCCGTGTACGACGCATCCTCATCCGGTAAGTTCGCCGGTGCTAAACAAACTAAGCCACCACAGTCGCTGTGCTGTGGGCGAACCTCGTGCTACCATTCATCCGCTACTTTTGGCTTCCTAGGTAGTGGAGTCTGGCCAGGGCCTTTGGATTATGACTCCAATAGCTTCATCTGACCCTTACTCCGCTCTGTCAGGTATAAGTAACCTGATCTTTCCATCGTGTTGCGCATTTGTACCCCGGGCACACTCTTGGTCAATGTGTCTGCCCGATTGCTCTTTCCAGGTACATGCACAACCTTCAGACGGCTCATGGCTATACTCGTTCTTGCAGCCATAGATACCTCGTTTGGATGTGCCTCGCTTTTCCTAGTCCTATTCGGCTCACCGTTCCTTTTGCCGACTTGGAGTCGGATTCTACCACTGCCGGCAGATCAAGTCCTAGATCTTGCAACAGTGATTGTACTCCCTTCGCCAAGGCGTAATACTCGCTTTCGCCTGTGGAAAGAAGTATGTTGAGCGTATTGCTCCGAACAGCCAACATCCCGGTCGTAGATCTTCGGGTGACAGTGCAACCAGCATGGTCGCTGTCCACTTACACTCGGATACTGCTTGGCATCCGTTGCTCCGCACAGATCTGAATGAAGTCTGGGTATTTCTTGAGGAATCTACCCAGCCTCCTAAAATCACCTCAGTAGGGTTGCCCATTCCCCGTGCGAGGTCTTCCACCGTGTGTGAAGAGTCAAGGCGGTCTTGCGATAGGTATGCCGCTCGCATCACACATGACCGGTTTGTCTTTTCCTAGGATTGGACTTCTGGATTCCAGCATCTGCTGGTCCACCGACTTCTTCACATCGGGTGTGTCCACTCCTTTTGCTGTTTCATGCTGTTTCCAGACCCAACTCTGGGATCAAAAGATCTACATGCCTCCTGTCCGGTTCTAAGAAAACTGCTTGTCGACCGTTGTGTTTCCCCACTCTAATCAGACAATTCAGAAAATGGATTTCTCGGTCGTCACCTTCCTCGAACCCTCAAGTGCCGAGCCGTTTCAGCTCGTATGCACTCGCGTAACAGGTCATGGATCTCCTGTAGTCCTTGGCTGTCGCTCAACTGTCGCTCAACACCAAGAAATCGTCACCGTGTACGACGATTCTTGTTCCATCACTTTCACGATCGAACACACTTGCGTTTGAACGGCCTCACTTTATGTTGGCCGATTCCAGCAAGCTGGTGTAAAATGGCTCTGCCAAATATTGTGCGTCCCATACATGGACTTCATCAATAGACCACACTCCTTCTCACCAGATACCGTGCGCGACGCATCCTCATCCGGTAGTTCGATGTAGATGGGCCTTTTCGGAATGCCGTAACAGGTGTGCTCTGCTGATGTCCCACAATCCTAGCTTCAGCTTTGTCCCCTGGAGTCGAGCTGAACAGCAGGTTCTGAGGTAACTGTTCGCTCTCCGATTTTGCTGCCTTGATATCCTTCACTACAAGTCGTGATCTGAAGTTAGGTTGGGTTGGATCTCCCTTGTCTGTATCCAGCCACCTGGCCGGTATCGGCCTCCGGCCTGTGACTTTGAAAGCTTCGGATGCCGGTCGTTTCTAGTAAACCGCTTGTTTCTTCAAGTATTCCATTTCCAACTTCCTAGCCTCACGGACTTTCTCTGGCGCTAGCCATCCGCTATTCACATCGTCCCAGTACCATTCTTCAAACTCCGTTTGGTTGACAAATGGCTTCTCTGGAACGGGTCCGCTGGTGTTAGCTTCGGTGGAGCCTAGCTCTCCACTCCGCACCAGCTTGGCTTTCAGCCATCTTAGTGCAGCTTTGACTGACATTGGTGGATACCCTGCCGCTGCTCTTGAAATGCCACAAATAAGATGGATGTGTCTGTGCCATTCACCTCCAGTCTTATTCGCGGACTCGCCTTGTAAGAGCTCGGCTAGGTCTTCGTCGTTTGTCAGCCAACCTGTTTCCTTTCTGCTGTGCCTGAGCTTGAAGCTCTTGCGGCGCTGTTTGCAAGGTTGCACTGCAGGATCCATCAGAAGTAATCTACAATGGTGTCTTGCTCCACCGCTTCTTCCTCCTCAGATTCCCACACGTACGTGTCCGTGAACGTGCACTCACTATCTGCTGGATGTTCTTTCTTCGGCTTGGCCTTGGGCTCAACCAGTGGTACGGCAGCCGCTGGTCTCGTCAGAACCTGTTGGGATTTCGGCGTGGGCTTCGCCTCGGCCATTTTCGTTTCTGGTGCGGCTTCGGTCTTTGGTTTCTTTCCTGACCGTTCAGCCTTTTCCTCGCGGGTTCTCCTCTCCTTTCTTTCTTCTCTGGCCGCTTTGTCTTCGGCCTCTCTACGTCTTCGTCTAAGGTCTTCCTCCTGCTCAAACTCCCGTTGAGCTTGTTGCAACTGTTCTGGAGTTGGATTCACCCACGTCACGTTCCAGCCGATATGATACATCCTCTCACCAGCCTTAGTCGGTGGTCCTGCGGCCTTTGGTTCCTGCGCTTTAGGTGTAGGTGGTGGTCCTTTCGCCTTTGGTTCGGTCTCTTGCAACCGTTCAGATACTCCTGGTGGTCTTTGTCGTCGGGGTCTCAATGCCACTGGGCCCGGGACTCTTCTCCGTGCCCTCGCTTTGGCTTGAGACTTTGCTATAACTGAAGCTGCGAATCGATGCACTGATGATCGCTGACGGGCATTCGTCACAAGGTGAGCAAGCCTCGTCGATCCCGTCGGCTTGGTAAACCCTTGCAGCACTTGCAGTCGCAACAGTGCCCCGTGCACGTGCCTGTGCAACGGCTTCCTGAGCTGCAGCACTTCGCTGTCAATAGTTGGATCCTAGGTCTGCTTCCGATTCAGCTACACCACGCGCAACACGAGCCTCAGCTAACCTTGCAGTACTGGGGTGGACTGTGATCCTCCCAGCACGTCGTCCGGCCACCGCCTTTGGTGTTGCGGACCCTTTTCCACCTTCCGATCTCAGTGGATCGTCTCGGCTCCTAGGCCGTTCCCTGGTCGCGGCCTTTGGCGCTGGCTCTGTGTTGCTCCTGAACCACTAGAAGCTCCTCCTGGGCTAAATGCGCCCACGATGTGTTGGAGATGTTCTGGAAGGTTCTCGCCGTACTCAACTACGGGCTTCCCTTCTCCTTTCTTTCCGGTTCCTTTGCCCTTGGCTCTCTTGCCTTTCGTTGAAGTGCTTCTGCGCTCCTGCAGCGGCGGTTGGGGGTCTCCCCAAGCCA